CTGATATTTCAAGATTCCTGGGGTTTTTAAATGTTACCTTTATCATACGTCCTAGTTCTCCTCTCCCCTCCCTACTTAAGATTGAGGAGCTGGGAAGTTTTAAAAGAAGCTCCCCATCAATTCTGCAGTAGAAAGAGATGAGTCCCAACTAATACAAAAAATATATATTTTTCTTCTGTCCTCAGTGAAGTTATATCTATTCATTTTTAATGTTTTTGAGGCTTTGGAAGCAAGGCCAGAGAAAACAACACTTCAAGTATCAGCCTCCTTTTTATTTTATTTTTACTTTTTTATGATTTTGGAAGTGTTGAAATCATGGCCTATTTGTGTTTAAATGGTTTTTCAGAGCTTAATTCGTCCGTAGAAGGTTTAAAAAGAAAAAATATAAGCTGCTCTATGATTTCTGGGATGCCTTGGAAATATGCACCCACTTTGAATGAAAGCTCGTAGGGGACATTTTTTTTTTTTTTAAGAACTCTCACCAGCTGTATAGAATCATGCCTTTACATACATCACTTTACTGCTTTCACATCTCAGCCAAATGGGCCACACTTACCCAGCTCTGCATTATTTCACAAGCCCGGTCTGCCAAAACTCTCACAAGTTTCCATTGCTGATTGGAGTCTAGCCAGTGATATGCCCCTAACATTCAAGAAGGGCGAGAGTGAAGCTCAAAATAAAGAACCATTTTCAGGGAGAAACACAGTCAAGAGCAGGTTGACAAGAGACACAGGGTAGTGAACTGCATTGCAATGGTATCTATTTGGAGACAGAATCATCGGGGGGCTTGAGGATTGTTTATCAGGTTCTTCACGTGACATTTACTGGTAGATCATTGTTGCAGGTGGAGAGCTCAGAATAGCAGTAACTTTCAGGCAAATCTGAGCCCCTTTTTACATATTAATCTTTTTGTCACCTTCCATTTATGTATGTGTTAGTGAAGTAGCAACAGACGTGTTTAACTTACTTTTTCAAAAAACTATTAGCTTAGCCGGTGGTCTGTACTATTTCCACATTTAAGCAATAAACCAGTGTTTCTTTTTAAAGACCCGACCTTTCTCAGTTAAGTTTGTTGCCAGATCTCCCCAAAAGACAGCTAGTTTATTAAATATGTTTACTGCTGTTATTTAGAGGAGGTGTTGGCAACCTTCTGAGTGGGGCGCAACGTTGCTGATGTGTTTGTCTTACAATGGAAGGCTAAGACAAGATCAAGGGAAAGGAATGGGGACCTGGGTTTTGGTGTGGAGCTGGGGAACGGCTCCCCTCTCCCCACCATCGTGCTACTTTCCATCAGTCAGAAAGCCGATTATCTCCTTATAGAGTAACCCTCTGCAGGGACACATGGGTCAGTCTTTCAGAAGCCTGTCTGTGACCCAGGAGACAGCCACATGGAGAGACCGGGAGCCTGGGCCCTTATCCTTGGGCTTTTTCATCCAGTCACAGCCTGACCCCTCTGGTCCCCAAAACAGTAGGGCCTGGGGCCTGTGAAAATCATCCTGATCCCCAGTGTTTCTAACTTATATCATTTCTCACCCCATCATAATGCCCGAACTGACTCTCACATTTAAACACAGCCATGCAATAGAAGCCAACCGCGGCTCAGGCACTTAGGGGACACTTGAGTTTACACTGGGTCAAAACCAACAGCGCCCTCGGGGAGTTTGCTTCCAAGTAATTTTAATGCATTTTTGCTTCCAATGTGTTTTTCCTGGTAGAATTATCAGAAAATGATAATATAAACAAAATATAAAATGTTACCCATAATTCCTCAGAATGAGGGGAGGAGGTTAGCAGTGTTAATGAGAGCTGAAGAACGTGGGCGTGAAGGTGCCTTCTTCATGGAATCCTTTTTTAAAATGTCTCAGTTGGAGGAAAACGAAGTCTTCAATACTAAAAAGAACTCTGTAAACAAAAATTTGATCTGTCACCCTCTAGAACAGATCAAATCGCACGTTCTGTGACAATGAAAATGAAAATGGTCTATGTCCGCGCTGCCCCAATTAGGTGGCCACTAGCCGCATGTGGTTACTTACATATCAATGAACTAAAACTCAATAAACAACTCAGTTCCTCAGTCACAGCAGCCATATGTTAAGTGTTTTACCGCAACACGAGACTAGCGCCTCCTACAGGACGGCACAGTCCCAAAATCTAGGAGAGATGTTTCGGTATACCGTGCAAATACTTACTCAAAGTTTGCCAAATAAGGATGGAAATGGAAAGTGTTCCCCAAAAAACTATACAGAGCATAAGGAAAAAGTCCACTTTGTGTCATCTGAAGGGTTTTTTCCCTTTCCATAAAGTTTCAGCCAATAAGTAAACCAAGTTAGCAGTACTTTTCATCCCCACGCCTTGAGCAAACGCTCAAGTCCTCCCAGGAGGGCTCCCTGGATATGCGTTTACGCAACCTGTCCACAGAAAGCACGCTTTCCAAGCACCCAATGTATGCTTTTCATGTGAACTCACTCCTCTGGTCCTTGGAGTATATTTACCATGGAAATTCCCCTACACAAAGCCTATCTATATCTTTGCAACCACACTTTCCAAGGCTGCTCCCTGGAGCAGGTTTCTCTATTTAGCTTTGTCTATTTCTACAACCCAGACCAAGCAAGAAAGATGGAAACAAAGTCCTTGATTGTACCGGGCAGCCTCCGGAAGGCCTTTACTTCTCCATGAGAGCTGACATAAAGCAGGGATTCAAATGAGCCCATGTCAGTGTTTCAAGGCCCACCACAGACTTTTGCCTAGTTTTCAGTCAGTGGGTACCATAGTCCACATACAGACAAGAGAGTTTATTCATAAAGTCATTCATACCAATGTGTTCGTACAAAGTGAGGGGATCTTGTGTGACAGAAGAGGTGCCTTTATCCAGCCTGTTTCACCCTCAAGGGCTTCCCTCCTATAATGTTCTTATAAGTTTAATATTAAAGTGAGACCAGAAGCTATCAAAAGCACCCTTCCGTCTCTCCGTGCCCCTGAAGTGTACCAGCGGACACAATTTGCTTTATTTGCCTGAGGGCTGCCCCAGTGTAGAGAGATGGGGAATCCCCTAGCACCGTGGTCAGCAAACTGCGGCTCCTGAGCCACATGCGGCTCTTTGGCCCCTTGAGTGTGGCTCTTCCTAAGCCTTAGGAGAACCCTAATTAAGTTAATAACAATGTGCCTACCTATATAGTTTAAGTTTAAAAAATTTGGCTCTCAAAAGAAATTTCAATCGTTGTCCTGTTGATATTTGGCTCTGTTGACTAATGAGTTTGCCAGACCGCTGCCCTAGCAGGTCGATCCCCTCAAGGGAATATCTTCAAAGGCAAACCGGTCTGAGGTCGCCAGGGCTCCGTGTGCCCCGAGGTGGCCTTGAGGAGCTCACAATTGCTGGTTTCCGCAAGCTCATCAGCATTATCTACTTCCGGACCATCTTCACCCAGAGAATTGACATTGTCAATGGTCTCAAGTGAATCACATTTGGAATTAGCCCCTGGGGGACTTGCTTATTAATAAATGCATCATCTTCTTGAGAACTGTTTCATGTATTTTGTGACACACCGGGCACTGTTCATAAATGTATATGTGCATGACCACTAATATAATTACTAATGTAATTTACTCCCTGAGCTAGTTGTTCATTCATAGGCACACACATTACCACCAGGTACTTGAAAAGCATTTGCCCCATTACCTCCATACTGACTTGGCCAGTCCCAAGCACAACCTCCAGCCTAAACCCTTATTACCAAGGTTGAGCCCAAACCAGATGGGGCATGGGATGAACTAAGAAAAAATGAGATATGTCCAGACTCATCCCCAGTATCAAACTCAAGAGTCAGTTTCCTACTCCACCCAACCAAACATTTTACCTCCAAAAGAAGTAACACAAGGTCATGCTTGAAACATATGTGGAAATAACAGCATTTGAGAAGAAAAACAAAAGTGAGGATGGGCAGAATGTCTATAGAAGAGTTCAAACCTGATGCAAAGAGAGTCTTTCTCAGAGGGACAGCAAGCCCAAGTTTAGAGCAGATGTTGGCAATCTATTGCCCACAGCCAACTCTGCCTGCCTGCCTTTATGAATAAAGTTTTATTGGAACACAGCCACGCCTATTTTTGTCCCTATGGCCTACAGCCGCTTTCCAGAAACAACTGCTGAGTAAAGCAGTTGCCATAGAGACTGCATGGCCCAAAAAGCTGAAAATAGTTACTGTGTGGGCCTGTGCAGAAAGTTTGCTGACCTCTGGTTTGGGGTTTTAGATTTTTCTGAAAACAGTCATTATTGGAGTTCCCTGAAGAAACAATTTTTTTCTGTTAAGAAAAGAAATGCAGGGCAATTGAACTGCGTCTGTATGTCCATTACAGAGTAACACGCTTGCCTCAGTCTAACAGGCAGTTCTCAGTCCCATTGCCCTGTTGCCCTAAGTTCTGAGAATAATTACTTCTTTGTTGACATTTGGTAAACTTATCTTCAGAAAATTGAAAAAAGGCTGGGAACATCTCTGAGGCTTAATTTCAAAATATGTTTAAATCTAAAGCTGGGATTCTCCGAGTGGGTAGCTAGAATAACAAAGTGTTTGCCTAAAGGCTTTTCAAGGGGACGTTGCTGATTGGTACTTTGTAGTACAGGCCACAGGAGTGAACTTGAAAAACAGGCATAATTGCTTTTCCAAGTTTTCACCAAAAATAATCATTTTTTAAAAGGTTCCAGTAACTTGCCCGCTAGGGAAAGAAGAAAAAGGGGGAGAAAAAAGTAAAGAGGGACAGTGACACAGTGGTTTTGCTCTAAAGTGATCATTCATGATGTCATGCTGCCATCTACAGGATTTCAGAATTTTTACCCAAACATGGGAGCTGCTCAGCCATGCTGGGATTCGCTGTCTCACACTCAGCTGAAAGCAGCACTCTGACTCTGCAGCGATGGAGTCAGGCAGCAGCCGTGGTGAGACCTGAAATCCAAGAAAGCCAATTTTTAAAAAAACTGGTAAATTTGGGGGGTAAATAATCTAAGGGCAGTGCTCATTGAGCAGCACGTATAGTAAAACTGTAACAATACAGGTAAGATTAACATGAGCCCTGTGCAAAGATGAGGCACAAATTCCGAGTGTTCCATATGTAAAAGGGAAAAAAAATATATAAGAGGATGGATGGATTAGTTTGCTAGGGCTGCTGTGACAAAGTACCACAGACTGTGTAGCTTAAACAACAGAAAAGTATTGTCTCACAGCTCTACAGGCTGGAAGTTCAAGATGAAGGTGCCGACAGGGTTAATTTTTTCTGAGGTCTTCTCCTTGGCTAGCAGACGCCTACCTTCTCACTGTGTCCTCACAAGGCCTTTCCTCTATACTGTCTGTGCCCCGATTTATTTTTATAAGGACATCAGTCATTAGATGAGCGTCCACCCCAATGAACTCATCTGATCTTAGTTACCTTTTTAAAAACCCAATCCCCAAATACAGTTACTAGTACATCCTGAGGTACTTGGTGTTACGATTTTAATGTATGAATGGGGGTGGGGGGAGCACAATTCAGTCCATAACAGGAAATAATAAATTAAATAAAGTACTTGCTTCTAATGTTTGGGCTAAAAGTAATGGATACAGTAAGTAGCAAAGCATTAGGATGCCAAGAAAGAAAACAGAGACGAAGGGAGGAAGGAAGGAAGGAAGGAAGGAAGGAAGGAAGGAAGGAAGGAAGGAAGGAAGGAAGGAAGGAAGGGAGGGAGGAAGGAAGGGAGGGAGGGAAAATCTTGATGAATGACTAGAGCCTAAATTGGTCCAAACAAGGTCTTGCTTAATTAAGGAATTCACCCTATCTGTGCCTACTAGGAGGAGGAGGAAGACTAAAACAAGAAAAGATGGTGAAAGTTGGATGATCCCAGCAGGTAAAACCACTCATCTTGGCCTGATATGCCCACATCATTCAATAGCCATGTATCGTCCAATTGTGTCTTTTTTTCTTTCCTTATTTTTTTTTTAAGCATTACAGATGTCCCCTTTCATTTAATAGTGTCTTAAAGCTGCAGTCACATGGCTACCAGGTGCTCTATTGCTCTGAGGCTATCACAGAAACCATACACGAGGCAGACCCCAGAAGAAAACTGCCCCTTAAAGTGTTCTTTTAAATTTACACTGAAGCTTTACCCCAAATTGAGCAAAACAGGAAAGTATGAATTTGCTATTCCTGAAAGGTATTAATGGTCATTTGCTGAACGCTGGTCTGCGTGTCTATTGAAGGGTAGAAGCTTCGGTTGTTTTTATGCCCTGGCACAGCCAGCGAGTGAGGCACAGAAGACGGCGCACCGTTCCCACTAAAGCAACGGCCTGCTGTTTCGCTGGCCGCTCCTGAGCCCCCCATAACGAACGGTTGCATTTACTCCTCATCTATCATTTCTTCTTAATAAGTGGGACAACAGCCTCCATTTCTTACGATCCCTGCCGTGCAGGAGGTTTGTGGTAGGTCGTCTACGTACATTCTCTTATTTGATAACCACCTTAGCGATGTTTTCAGCCACATAAACGCACTGGACAGAGATCTTTTTTATATAAATGATTATAAAATATGTAAATTACATAGACCATATTTTGTAACCATTTTGTTTTATGCTTTTAGGGAAAATCCACAGGCTGCAAATCCAAGAATTACAAACTGAACAGTGTCATGTTGTTTTTGTCTTGCAATGTGGCAGGGTCGGTATATTCTGGCTGCAGGAATATTATACATCAACTCACATACTGCTTAGATTTTGTTTGTTTTTTTACTAATGGTGTTGAATCATAAAATGCATAGAGTCACAGACAACACAACTGTTAGTCTCCCATTTTCCTAAGACAATAACTGAAGTAGACCTAAGCACCACTACTAACAATAACAACAAATGTGGCATTATTCATTTATGGGGAAAGTGCAAATATAAGATAATGCTTACTATGTACAGTTTCCATTGCTACTGCATTGGGAAACGCATGTGATTGTAGTACTTTTTAGCTACAAGATTGAACGTTTGGGTGCAAGCCCTTTTGTGGGGCAACACTGCCATCTGGTGGTTTAAATGAGGTATTTCACAGCCGTTGGAGAGAGCGACTCCCAACCCTTGAAAATGTTCGGGTCTCCTTTTTCCCTGGATCTGTAATAGAGACAGAGAATCTGATCTGTACACATCGCATGAGGGAATCTACATGTCATTCAGAGCTCATGCATGAGGTTGTCCCGGCCTTCACTGCCTGAGACCCGGAAAGGGGGGACCCTGTTCTGCGCCCGCACCTCCTCATTTAGAGGCCTCGGCTCCCCCTGGCTGTGGCCCGCCCTCCAGATCAAGGAGTCCTGGGGCCACGGGACGTGCCTGCCCAAACCCACGCCTTTTTCTTCCTGCTCCCTCGCCCTCTCCCTCACCTCCACCGCCGGTTCCGCTTCCCTGCATCCTATTAATGCACGAATGCTCTCATTCCGCCTGAGGTCTGAATGAATAATAGCTGGCTCCCGCTTCCCAGATATCATTTGCATTAGAGCAGCTTCCCGAAATATTCCGACACACCCCTTCCCGGCAACAGTCATAACGAAGGGGAAGTTTGCAACGCACAAGCAGGCCCCGGGGATCGCCGGTCCCGCCCCTCCCCGCACATATCCGCCTGCCGGAGCCCGGGAGTCGTTCTGAGGCGTGGACCTCTGCCGCCACCTTCAGAGCGCTCGTCACCGCAGCACGTCCTGCGGCTGCTGTTCACGTCATCAAACCGTCCCCCAAAGCTCCGGTCGCACCAGGTAAGCGGCTTGTAGAGATCTGCTGTGCACCACCTGCCTACAGTTAGCCGTGCCGTGCTGGGCACGTGGAAACTTGTTAAGGGGAAGACCCATGCGGAGTCTTCTTACGATAAGTAAATAAAAGCTATTTAAGTAGGAAGAGGGGGAGGAAGGCTGTCGGAGGAGGAGTCTGTCCGAACCTGGCCTCAGAGGCAGCCACGGCAGCAGTGCCCGGCGTTTCACTTGTGCTATTTCACCCGCCTTGTGGCACATTTTATTTGCTCCTTGATCAAATAATAAAAGTAGCTAACACGCCCTGGCCGGTTTGGCTCAGTGGATAGAGCGTCGGCCTGCGGACTGAAGGGTCCCGGGTTCGATTCCGGTCATGCGGGCACATCCCCAGTGGGAGATGTGCAGGAGGCAGCTGATCGATGTTTCTCTCTCATCCATGTTTCTAACTCTCTATCTCTCTCCCTTCCTCTCTATAAAAATCAATAAAATATATTTAAAAAATAATAAAAGTAGCTAACACTCTGTAATGCAGATATATATGTCATAAAAGGTTATAAATGTCATGTTTTATATACATAACGAAACCAGATGGATATACGTGATCTACAACCACCCTACAGTCAGAGCAGCTGGTGCTGGCAGGCGGTTCTGGGTCCTGCATCACGGTTGCCCTGCTCACACACTCCACTGTCTCATCATCTCCGCGGTGGATCCTATGATCAGCGCCCTCTATTCACCGAAAAGGAAACGAGGCTCGGAGAAATGGGCCTGTCTGGAGCCCCCCGACTAGTGCATGGCTGGGCTTGGACTTCAGGCTTGTACATCTGCCTTCGGAATACTAATAGAGAAAAGAGAGAGTAGAGACAAAAGGCGTAAGAACAGTAAAGAGAAATAAGAGAGAGAGAGAAGAGAGAGGGGGCAAGAGAGAGAGAGGAGAGATAGAAGAGAGGGGAGAGACAAGAAAACGGGAGAGAGAGAAGTAGAGAGATGAGAAAGAGAAGACAAGGTGAGAGAGAGGAGACTGAGGGGGGGGGGGGAGAGAGAGAGAGAGAGAGAGAAAAGAAAGGAGTGAGGAGAAAGAGGAGAGAGATAGAGAGGGAGAGAGAAGAGCAAAAGGAGAGATGAAAGCAGAGTAGCTGGAAGCTGCATCCACTCGCTCCCAGATTCAAACTGGATTCACAGCTAAATTACAGAGCAAGCAACTTGACGAACAGCGTGAAGTACAGCTTTTCAGAAATATCATAACCGAGGAGTGCAGAAGCCACAGGAAGGGCCCGCCCCTCACGCAGGTGCGGCAGCTGGGAAGCCGAGGGGTGCGGGGGGTGCGGATATTGAGGCTACAAAACTCCTCACCCCGTGAGGACACCAGCACTGGGCAGAGGGAGCCTCGGGAATTGTTGATTCTGATGTATCAGCCAGGACACGCTTTATTGCGAGGAACGGGGCCTAGTGACTGAAGTAAAGTAAATAATTCTAAGTGGTGGGAATAAATTAACACTTGCAAGAGGCAAGTTTCAGAGTGGGTTTGGACCTGGCAGGTCCAGGTTCTCGCTCCGGCAGGGGACCTGGTCCCTCTCCAACCCTCCATCCTAAGTGCCTTTGGGTGCCCCACTCACAGGCACAGTCTCCGCCTCCCCCAGTGCCAGGCCGACACCCGCTCACGGTCCATTCTACCGGGAAAGGTTTCTGCTTCCCTTGGCCTGGCTTGGTCAGTCTCATTCTTGAACCCACCAGAGCACCCAGAAGCTGGATGTGGGGTTGGCTAGATGTGGGGTCAGGACTCAGGAACTGTTTGGAATGGAAGCAGGAGAGGTGTCTTTCCCAAAGGGAAGCTTAGGGGCTGGACTTGGGCGTGAGAACAGATGCAGGCAGGAAAGCAGCAGGTTCCACATCACTGGGGCCCACTGCATCGCTGTGGGACCCAGCCACAGAAAGGGGCTCCCCTAGGGCCACCGGCTGCAGACACCTGTCCGGGGCTCGTGCTGTCCCCCCATAATGGCAGAAGCAGCTCCCCTTGCGGGAAAAGCTCTGCTGCTGTTGGGCATCGGGTCCTTGCATCGCAGAGACTGGCCCAGAATAGCCCATGTGCCCGGGGAAGGCACACAGACCTCCTTTGTGCCCCTGAGAGATGGGAGCCCAGAGGTCACACCTGCCCCGGCCACATTAATCAGCCATCCCTGAAGAACAAAACGGCTCCTTCCAGTCTAAGACTAGGGTGCTGGGAAATTCTTGCTCAGTGAAGCAGCCGGAGGCTCAGGGATTATTCCAAACCGTGGAATCCACAGCTTCCCAGAGGCCATTCGGGCTGGAGCATGGGCACCTTTGGGTCTCAGAGACCATGCGGCCCCAGAGTGAAACCTCCTGTTGGGAGGTGCAGGTGCTCCCCATCTTCGACTCGTTACCTCTCTCGGCAGGCTGAGGCTGCGAGGGAGGAGGTGCTTGTCTCAACATCCTGGGTGTTAGGAATTAAAAATTCCCAAGGAGCTGCCTATGCTGCCCAGGTAGCTGTTCGATTGCCCAGCAGCACCGCAGGCTTGGCAGGGCCCGGCTGTGCTGAGCTGCAGGACTGCCCAGGCCTGCCTCAGTGGCTGTCCTGAGACCTGCCTGCCTACTGCTGCCCACTCAGATGGGACGAAGGATCCAGCCAGTCCCAGGAGGAACCACCAGCCCTCAAGAAGGCTGCACCTGGCCTCGCAGGATGGCTCAGTGGTTGAGCATTGACTTATGAACCAGGAGATGATGGTTCGATTCCTGATCAGGGCACATGCCCGGGTTGCAGGTTCGATCCTCGTGTGGGGTGTGCAGGAGGCAGCCGAAACCAGCAGTCGGACATCCCCCGGGGGATGTAGTAGTGCACCAAGCGGCAGGCGGCCAGGAAGGAACCGGAGCCCAGGCCAGGCGCCACACCACTTCCGCTCATCCCGGCCCCACTGCGCCTGCCGCCTCGGCTCAGTAGCGCTGCCGCGGTGGCGGGAAAGGCTGGCGCCACCACAGCTGCACTCGCCAGCATGAGCCCAGCGTCTGGCGCCTGTCGATCAGCTGAGCGGTGCTCCTGCTGTGGGAGCGCACTGACCACCAGGGGGCAGTTCCTGTGTTGAGCGTCTGCCCCCTGGCGGTCAGTGCGCATCATAGTGACCAGTCAACCAGTCGTTCGGTCATTCGGTCGTTTCGGCTTTTATATAGATAGAAAGTTCACTAAACATCAAAACAACACACACAAAATGTGGATGTGTACCTACTGGCATGGAAGTTTCTTCCTAATACCAGATGAGAAAGGTTACAAAGCAATGCACGTAGTACAATCCCATGCTTGTGCAAATCAGGTACATGCACAGAAGTAGGATCTACACGAACATTCGTTTATTTAAAAATATTTATTGAGATGTACTATGTGCCAACACGATTTATTTGGAAGACATCTCTACAAGGTACTACCTCATGCAGAGCCCAGCGCATGCACTGCCACCCCAGGTCCTGCACGGCTCTGTGCAACCCCACGTTCTGCATGGTGAGTGGATGAACTGAGGGCAGTAAGGACACCAGTAACACATGATGCACGAATAGTCACTTCACAGGAGAACAAGGTTGACGCGCGTCCTATGAGTGCGGAACTAGACCTAGCTTAGGAGCACTGTGCCCCAGCCTGTCCACAGGTGGGCACTGTGGACAGCACTGTGGACACCTGGAAACACAGCTACCTCTAGAGGACAGACACGGGCCGTGACTGGCGGGGCAGCCCGAGCATTTGTCGTGGGGCCACAGAGAAGGGTGTGACCGCCTGCAAGACAGAGTGAGCGTCCGCAGGTTTCACAAGAAGGAGTGTTCGCATCGGGTGTGAGCTCCTCGCTCTGCTTTCCTCCAACAAGCTCACACTGCTTCCCAAAGAGAACTTCAACTGTCATCTCCAGATCGGAAAGACTTTTTCTCCAACCTGAAAAAGACAAAGAAAACAAGTCAATCAAATAGCTAATCATTAAAGTTTGGTTAACACGCAGTATTTCCTAGTAATAATTTAATATTGGACAAGAGAATGGCATTCAGGTGCAGAATTTTTTTAAATGACAAACTTTTTAACATAAAGTTACCGAAAAGCAAAGCACAAAACAGGAATCAAAAATAATGAGAGTCCTAGTGGGTTTCGCTCAGTGGATAGAGCGTTGGCCTGTGGACTGAAGGATCCCGGGTTCGACTCCAGTCAAGGGCACATGCCTGGGTTGTAGGCTCCATCCCCAGTAGAGGGCTTGCAGGAGGCAGCTGATCAATGATTCTCTCTCATCATTGATGTTTTTTTCTCTCTCTCTCCTTCTCCCTTCCTCTCTGAAATCAATAAAAATACATTTTTTAAAAATAAACAATGGGAAACCATGTGATGATTTTCTTTTCCCTCCTACATTAAGCCCAGGTCTGAAGAAGAGAATCCATTTCTCAATGGCCTCTGAAGCGTAAGGCCCGCCAACTGCACTGTTTCACTTGTGGGAACAATGGCTCTTCGGTCCTCAAACTGCCACCTGGTCAGACCATGTCCCTCACGCCGCACAGCTGCACACCCAGCGCCTGTGGGCACCAAGTGTGTGCCAGGCTGCACGATGGCCCAGCCCTCGGCCCCTTCTCTCCACCCATGGCTCCCGGACACAGAGGGGCGGCCCCAGCCAGTCTGGGTCTCCTCTCACTGACCAGCTATGTCACAGAACAAACCACTTACCTGCCTGCACCTCCGTTTCCTGTTCTGGAAATAACAGCATCCACTGCCCATCATGGGAATGAGAAAACGATGCGGACAAGGCGTGGCCGTGGTGTCTGGCCAGGGCAGGGAGCGTCCGCCGCGGTGGTCACCGCCGGCCCACCCCCCGCCCAGCACCACAACATACGCCTTCACAGCTGAATAGCTTACTCTCTGCACCGTGGGGTCCTGTCTGGAGGTGACGGACCAGCTCAGAGCGACGGACATGTGCCTCCTCCACACTGGGTTTCTCTGCAGCACAATCGAGCCTGTGAGCACATCCCCTGCGTGGACGGGGACGGGCTCGTCCATCATAAACAGCACCTGCTTCCAGTGGGTGGTCCTGCAAGACACAGGGGTGGCATTACTGGAGCCCTCCCTGGGCCCAACTCTTAGGGTTTCCACAGGGCAGACACAGCCCAGCGAGGACACGGCTGCTGGACACTGCTCAGATCCCAGGAGTGGGGAGGGCGGCTCACCCTGGTGGCCCCGGGGACACTGGGGTGCTCAGGACGCATGGCCAGACACGGGATCCCCGTATGGTGCCTGTTCCCCAGCCCCTCAAAGGGTCAACTCGGCCTCCATATCCCGGCACAGCCAGTGTCCACCCCAAGTCACCCAGCTGTTTCTCTGAGCCACTGATGCCCGCGGTTCTAGTTTCCGCAGCTAAGAAGAAATACACACTGAGGTAACTGTCCAAAACACGCTATTTCTGTGAACGTTAGATTGCTGCGTACAACACACTGTGACATCTGGGGGGAACAGTAACACTCTGGGACCCTTTAAGTTCTGCAGGCTCATCCCCTGACATGTCTTCTCCCCGCCATCCAATGTGGCCCCAGATCATGCCCAGCTGAGGCGACGCTCGGGCCACCTCCCTCCGCCACCATGGGGGTCTCTTTCCCTGGCCCTTCAACGAGCTTGAGTCCTCTGGCTGTGCCAGGCCCACCGCCACCCTGTCCCTGCTACCGCCTGCGTGTAGACAGCCCACCGCAGACACTCAGGTGGAGACGGGCCCAGGCACACGGCGCTCACCACTGGCTCCTAGGTGAGCGCTCGCATCTGTGCCGGGCCCCCGGAGGACTGGCTGCAGTCCTAGCCCTGCAACCTTCACAGGGCATTCTGGGCAAGCAGCTCTCGGCCTCACTCGCTGGGTCCTTCAGGCCTCAACAGCATAACCACTCCCCTCCCTCGGCCTTGCTCACTCCTAGCTGAGCCCTGAGCCTGAGGGCGTGTCCGGGCAGTTACTGAAAGCCCCCACGAAGGCCGCATTTCCACGGGCTGCTGGGTCAGCACCATGAGCAGACGTCGGCCCCCGGTGTGGGCACAAGTGTGCGGCCACAAAACGCTGTGTCTCAGGAAACATCTGCCTTCGGCAACAAAGTCTGAGTAAACACCCCTAGAACGCTGCTAACTATGAAAAGCTGTAGCAGCCGGCTGCGGTGGCTCAGCGGTTGAGGTCGACCTATGAACCAGGAGGTCACGGTTCACTTCCCAGTCAGGGCACATGCCCAAGTTGTGGGCTCCATCTCCAGTGTGGGGTGTGCAGGAGGCAGCCCATCACTGATTCTCTCTCATCATTGATGTTTCTATCTCTCTCCCCACCGCCTTCCTCTCTGAAATCAATAAAAATATACTTAAAAATGAAAAGCTGTAGCAGCGTTTAGAGCAACTGAGAAGACAAAGCCTGCTCAACCCCGAGCCCCGCTCTGTTCATCCAGGGGGCCCAGGAGCAGCCTGAGGAAGCCAAGTGCAGGGGCGAGTAGGGGCACAAGACCCCAACTCACCTCCACCAGCCTGGGCCCCGGCGCCCACCCACTGCACACCTGGCTCCACATCGCAGCTCCCCAGCCCAGGGTCAGCTGGTCTAGAGAGATTTTAAGTCAACGTTCACTATTACTAGATCTTTAAATTCATGACTCTGTCGTGCTGTTTGTCAGGCCACTAACTTGAAGGCAAACCCTTACGCTCCATGGGCACCGGTGCGCCAGCGGGAGGAGCAGACACTCACGGATGGAATGGTCCCGTGCTCAGCACCAGCTGTGGCTCCTCCTCCTCCAGGTTCTGAAAGCGGACACTGAACCAGGCCGTAAATCCATGCAGCGTGCCGGCTTTCTTGATATCAAAGCACAGCTCGCCTTTCATTGTCTGTGATCAGCCAAACAAAAAGAAAACGGACGTGGCTCATAGGCCCGTGGCACAGGCCCGTGGCTCAGCTCTCTCTGAGCGAGACTTGGCAACCTCTCCCTCCGCTTGGGCACATTTCACAGGTCCCACCGCACTGCCGGTACCACCCATCTCTGCAACTATGAAACAAACCTGTCACCTGCTAGTTTAACTGGACACGTCAAAAAACCATTCCCTAATATCCTCCTAGGGAAAGCAGATACTAAAACTTGCATTGTGAATTCAAATGAGCAGATAATCAGAAAAGGGTTCAAGCAATCTGGGCATCATTTGCCTAATTTTCTGCCCCAAAATTCGTGAATACCTTCTCTTCTCAGTTCTTTGCATAGAAAGTTCAAGGCTGGGTCTCTACAATTGTAGCTGAAACTAATTTAAACCTCAAAATTTCAGTTTGCATACTGATTTACCATCTAATTCCCAGTTGGGGTTTGGTGAGGGATGGTTGGTTGTGTTCAAACATTGTCTTCCCCAAAGGGATGGTACTGAACCTACATATGCCCTTATGACAAGAGAAGGTAAGTAAAAGAAAGAACTAAATTTTGTCAAGCATAGCTAAAAACACTTAGAAAAAAATTTTTGTTAAAATTCCATCATGAGCCAAGCCAGTGTGGCTCAGTGGTTGAGTGTTGACCTATGAACCAGGAGATCACAGTTCGATTCCTGGTCAGGGCACATGTCCAGATTGTGGGCTCAATCCCTAGTGTGGAGCATGGAGGAGGCAACCAATCAATGATTCCTTCTCATCATTGATGTTTCTATCTCTCTCCCTCTCTCTCCCTTCCTCTCTGAAATCAATTTTAAAAAATATTTTTTTAAATTCCATCATGAAATTGGATATAATTTATTTGAATCTGAAGATGCTGATATTAAACTTAAATCTTTAAAAATAATGGAAGATGTTAAAGAGGTTAACTAGAAAGAAAATAATGTAAACATATAAAAGAAAATCAGAATAGACCATAAGAAAAAAAGACTATGGGAAAATCAATAGCAAAAAGCGTATAAATCTGTTTCTTTCTATAACAAGTTTCCCACGTGTGTGCACCGATTACACAGCCTCACCTCCAGTTCAGCAATCTGCACCGTTCTCATGTCCAGCTGTAATATAGTGCACGGCTCAGAGAGACAGTCTTCTGGTTTCAAAATGTGGTTATACTTGGGCTTCGAAAAAAACTCCTTAATCGCTAACGATCTGGGAAAAAGGTCAGAGCAATTACTCAAAGCCATCACCAACAGCTCAGGTTCGGACACACGTGACAACAGGACATGCCTTTTCTTTTCTGTATTAGCAGGAACTCTACACCACTGTCTGCAGCCCTGAAAGCCCAACTCTGGGCCCTTCCCCACCCCCTGACCCTCCTCCCCACAGGCAAGGCAGCCTGAGTGCAGCAGTGGGTCCCTCCCCCTGACCATCTGCACAGACCAAGCAGCCAGAGTGCAGCAATGAGGCACTTCCCTTTTGCCCTCTTCACAAGGTCTGAACACACAGAAAGCAACCTTCACCATATACCCAGGATACACAGGGTACAGTGTGTGGGGGTTTTTTTTAGAATCTATCCTATATAATAAAAGGTTAATATGCAAATTGACCAAACAGCAGAACGACCAGTTGCTATGACACGCACTGACCACCGGGGGGCAGATGTTCAACACAGAAGCTGCCCCCAGGTGGTCAGTGTGCTTCCACAGGGAGAGCACTGCTCAGCCAGAAGCTGGGCTCACGGCTGGGGAGCGCAGCGAGTCTCTCCCGCCTCTGCAGCAGTGCTAAGGACCCCTGGGGGATATCCAACTGCCTGCTTAGGCCCACTCCCCCTGAGGGCCTAAGACAGCAGTTGGACAACCCCCAAGAGGTCCCAGACTGTGAGAGGGCGCAGGCCGGGCTGAGGAACCCTGCCCCCCCATGCACAAATGTCATGCACCAGGCCTCTAGTGTTATTATAAAATACCTTTCATGGATCTTCTATTATACAGCAAATAAAAAATATATTCCTGTTCTAGGTTATTCCTTAATAAATGCAGTGAATCAGCAGGACTGAAGGCACCCTCTTGGGCCTGACTCTCAGGAGACACCGCTGGACCTCCTGCACAGCCCTTTGCATGTCCTTCCCTAACATTCCATTTCACAGGCTGAACCCTGTGTTTGCCAGTAAGTAATCAGTTATTTACCACAGAAATGTTTCAAAAATTAAGGACAGCAGTAACTTCTGAAATAGCAAATAAAGGTAAACATTTTAATAAAGATTCCACTATATGTACATATTTTAATAGTTTTATCAGATGATAAAAACAAGTATGCACTTATAAGGATTAAAAATATATGGCATATTAACACAAAACTCTCAAATCCACACAGAATTAGGTTTTAATGTGTGGTGTGAGAGAAGGGACAATCACCTGTCCCGGGATAACTGGCTGCCTGCCCTCACGCCCACCTCTTCCATAGCCTACAGCTCTGTGCAGCTTCCTGTCCTATTCTGCTCCTCTGTCTTTTCTGGGAGCAGAATCAAACTGCTTTAACGACCCTATCATAGACGTTAATACCTGGCAGCATAAGAACCTCCTCACTGCTCTTTTCATAACCTACCCAGCCCTTCCTAGATGAACTACAGAACAACTCTGTCAGACCTTGCCCCTCCATTCCTTTTGGGGTCAGGATTGAGGATGCAATAATCCAGTGTTAACTAAGAAAGATTTCATTCATATGCATTACTATTGTCAACCCCAGGAAGAATATACCTGCTAAGAGCTCCTTGTGGCTACTTGGGCTCAAATACAGAACCAAAGTCTAGCAGTCATTGCTTACAGGGGCCCCTCATGCACTGTGCAGGGACAAGTAGCAGCCTCCAGCACTGCGCTCCTGGGACTGAAACTCAACCAAAGGGCTGAAGACTGCCCCATTCAACGAGAGCTGTGCAATTCTATTCTCATTTGTGTCTTTACTGGCTAATTAGAACTCATGGAGCTGACCACTCAGAACAGTGCTATTTGGACCAATCAAACTACAAATCTGGATTCCTCATTTACATGAAAATAGACCAATAAGGATGGGGGGGCAGAAACCTCTCTCTATATAAGCCAGCCTCCCCTCTGTCTCAGTGGATCGCTATGGCTGTGTTTCCCTGGTTGGCAAACTGAGCTGCAATAGGAGCTGTGTTCCCAGACAAGTTGCTTTACTAAATCAAGTCTCTCCTGTATGGCACCCCAAGTTGGGGACTCCTATTGGCATTGAATTGGCAGCAGTGACCTTCAGTTGAGACTTATTTTTCTTCAATTTTTTAATAAAAAACAAAAGGCCCAGAGGCCCCTGTCTTGCCATCTACTCCCCATCTGCATGTCTAGCAGGCATCCAGGCTCACCTGGCCCTTGCTACAAGAATGGAAGTTTCTTGCAGCTTCTGACAAAGGGCCCTCGCCTAACTCCCAGGGCTTAATTACCCTGGCACTCTCAGAAGCAGCAGCCAGCTTACGTTGCCATCCTTCCCCGAGGAGGCAGCATGGCAATGTGAAGGCCTTACCAGGAAATCAAACCTGAAGCTCAACTGTGCAAGTGTGTCATGTTAAAAACCAGGAAATCAAATGTTCTGATCCTTATTTAAAAGTTATAGCTCTTCGTGGGAACATGTATATGTGTTTTATTGGCCCACACATTTATAAAGGCCTCGTCTGTAAACATTACATTATTTTTCCCATTATATTTGGGACCTTAGATTGCAGAAGACAGTGCAATTCCCATCACAGCTATTATCAGTTTAAAGGCTTTAAAGGCAACACACAAAATTCGTAGGCACATGAGTAAATTTAAATAGTTTTGTGGCAAGTTCTGTAACAGAGTACATTATTCTGCCTAGAAACGCCTGCAGCTCACACTGCGGGGGGCCCACATGTGCCTGCGGGCGCCTGAGCCCCGGACACTCACTTGAGAGCGCTGAGGTTGAACTCATAGGCGTTGTCCCAGAAGAGAACCTTGCTGCGGTAGTCTTTGTCAGCGCTGCAGGGCACGAGGTGCAGTGCGGCAGTGGTTGGCCAGATGATCCCACCCTCCTTCAGCCATGCATCCCGGGCGTACAGGATGGACTCAATCATGAACTCAAACTGCATGGGAGGGAGAGACACATGGGAGACATGGTGACTGAGGCCAGTGTCTGCACATCCGGACGGTCTGGGATCTTTACCAGCTTAACCCTCAAGAGTATTGCCAGCCAACAGGTCTCGGAGGATTTCTTACACCCACACATCAATGCTCACCCCCTATTGCAGCTTGGGTTGAGGTCACATCATTTTGAGTTAGAATTCAGAACTGGGCGTGGCTAACGGTCAGACTAAACCTTCACTCTCGTCCCACCTCGGTCCGTCACTCAGTAGTTACCACGACATGCTTACCCCATCTCGCCTGGACCTGAAGCTTGGTCATTGCCACATGTGATTTTACAAACAAAACTGGAATCCTATAGCAATTATCTTTTAGTGGTTTTTTAAAAACCAACAAACTATCACTAACTTTTCTCTAAGAATCTATCAAGAATCTTCCTAAAGCCTAATTTTTAATGGCCACAGAATATTTTCTTATATAGTAGACTGCCACAGTTACTAGTATTTGTACTTTTCCCAATTTTCTTACATTTTAAATGGTATCATATACATTTTTTAGCATAAATTTATGTAAAAATCCCAGAATAATACCACTTAAATATTTTCAATGCCTTGTTTTCCTTCAAAAAGCTATATCAATCTATACTGCCAATAAGAGTCTGACAGTTTCCCCAAAATCTCAATGACACTGGCTATCATCAGATATTAGGTGATTTCTCAGCCAATTTGATATCTCAAAAATATTTAAGTTACCTCTTTGATTACTAGTGACATTAAACAACATTCATATGTCTGATCTTGTGCTTTTTCATGCCCCCTGGCCACCTACCTGGAGTTATTTATCTTATGCTTTTCTTATTGCCTAGTGCCGTGGTCGGCAAACCGCGGCTTGCGAGCCACATGCGGCTCTTTGGCCCCTTCAGTGTGGCTCTTCCACAAAATACCACGTGCGGGCGCGCACATACAGTGCGATTGAAACTTCGTGGCCCATGGGCAGAAGTTGGTATTTTGTGGAAGAGCCTGTATTTTGTGGAAGAGCCACACTGAAGGGGCCAAAGAGCCACATGTGGCTCGCAAGCTGAGGTTTGCTGAGCCGCAGTTTGCCGACCACTGGCCTAGTGGAACTCTTTATGAAACAAGAATATTAGCCCTTTGTCTTATAAGCTGCAATTCTTCAGTTCCACTTACTTTTAATAATCTATAGGTTGGTTATTATAAAGGACACATCTCTGGTCAAACACTTTATCCTATAGTTTCTTTATGGGCTTTGCTTTTAGAAAGACTTTCCCATCCTAACATCAGATAAAATTCTGAACAATTGTTTTATGTTCACTTAAAAAATGCTTAACTCTGTAACCCATCTGGGATTTATTTTAACCTACGGTGGGAAGAAGGACCTAACCATTTTCTGCAAAACAATCAATTGTTTCAGCAGCATCTTCAGACAATTACACATCCTTGCCTCAGTGACTGAAACCCCTCCCCCTTATTATAAACTAAATGCATTTATATTGGGGTTTGATTCTGAATTTTCTTTGTCCCATGATCTCTCTGTCTCATCACTGTAATCACAACAGAGTAGGAAGATGGGCGGGAGAGGCTGGGGACCGGAAGTCTGAGGAGCTCTGAGAACAGGCCGGGAACCCAAAGAGGATGCCAGGAGGGCAAGAAGCGCAGGAGAGGGGCAGCTGCAGAGAACAGCGGGTTCTGCCTAAGGACATGGGGACATTACAGGTGGGTGAAACTGTGACAGCTCCCAAATTCACAACCTCTCTGTATCAGCGTCACCAACCCTGGGCCAGGCCGAGACCCCACAGGGACCCTTCCTGATAGGATGTCCCCAGGCACCTGCACAAAGCAGCCAGGCCTCCCAAGGCTCTCCACCTGCTCCAGGGTCCTTGTCCTCAGTTTGGTGCCACCCAGTTTGTACTCACTCCTGCGCTCAGTCAGGGTCCATGCCCTCTCTCTCCTACCCCCCAAATCCACACCGCCTCCCTGGAATCCACACTCCCTTCCCCCAACCCAGTCAGAGGCCCCACCTGGAATCCACACTCCCTCCCTGAAACCCACACCTGCATCTGCATCTAGAATGGAGCTGCCAGCTGTCCCCTGCTGGGCCCCACCAGCAAGTCCCAGGACCCCATCTGGCCTCCTCTGTCTGAGAGACTACAAACCTGTCAGTGGCTCCAGAGGACAGGGAACTCACCAGGCCCTGCGCCCTCCCCCACCCCCCCGGCCAGTGGGCCCCTGCCAACACCCCCAGAATACCTCCTCTAGTCTTCCCCTTCTCTGGCCCCTTCCCCTGCAACCTCCCATGGACCCTAACTGCCCTCTCCGACTCTGACACCCCCAGCACCCCTCCCTCAACCCCCAGACCCTGAAGACCTCACCAGCACTGCAGTCCCATTGAGGAATCCCATAGGTGACTGATCTCTACTTCACTCCTTAAAAGTCCTGGACCGCAGCTGGCAGCCTAACACATGCACAGAGCACCTAAACCCAGCTTCTACCCCGACCCACCACTGGATCACAGGGACACTGAATCCAGGCCACTGCCCCTGCCAGAGGCTGCTCCATCCCTCCTCTCTTCTCCTCCCCGCTTCTCTTCCCTCTCCCCCTCATCCTCCTCTCTCTCTCCCCCCCCCTCCTCCTCATGTCTCCCACACTGTCCCACCTCCAGTAGCAGAGCTGGATGCTGGCAGCCAGGCATCCCCTAACTGCACTGGGCATGTGGGCGCATCTCCACCACAGGCCGGCTCCCCATGTCCCCATGGCCAGGAGGAACTCAATAAACACTAACTGGTGTTTGGGGGGCAGAGGCCAATGTCCACTTTATGGGTTATCGGTGTAGTGAGTCCCTTGCCCCCCATGTATAATCTTAGGAATCCACAGATGTTATTAATAAGCCAAATTATATCATGGATGTTGAGTCTATTTACACTTTATCTTCAGACATCATTTCAACAGGGCTACAGCCCAATGGCATTGGCTGGCTTTTCCCCAATCTTTACAAGCTATAAGAACTAGTAGCATCACTTACTTAAACGGATCTCTCGCTGGAAACCAGCCACATTCCCCTCACAGTCACCCAGATGTTATTTCTCTGGATTTTTACAGATGCTAAATTTCAGATTGGGGTGTTTCACTACAATGTCTTAAATCCTGAGCCAGAAGAGGGCTGGGCAGAGGGTCCAAGGAGAGGGAGACACGTAGGCCCAGCTCCCACACCTCTCACTGGCCTCCAAGTTCAGGGTCTGTGAGCACATAACGCACTGTGCAGGGGAGGGGGGTATATAACCAGAAAACTGTCCACTCCCACCTGGGAGACTCAGGGAGCACCAGGCCAGGTCTCACTGCCGCTAAGCAGGGGGCTGCTGGGAAAAGAGACGACGACGCTGCTTGCATTAAAAATCAGCCTTGTACATTAAACACTGGATATTCCCAGGTTCCCAAAAAGAACCGAGTTTATGTAAATCACTCATGAAGGAAAGAATACCAGATTCTTATAAAGGCATTTTTTTAATCAGTTAAAAATAAGACACTAGACCAACGTTCATATAAAAAAATCAATTACATCTGACCTTAGAGAAAACGTCAAAATTAATCATGATTTGTGAAGAATATTCCAGAGACCAGCCCAGCCACTGCCCCGCCCTTACCAGCAGGCAGGTCCCCATCCACTCGGACACCAGCACGTCCACCTTCTCCGGCAGCACCACGTCCTCCACCTTCTGCTGGAATACAGTGATGATGTCGGCGAAGCCATTCTGCATGACGAGCTGCCCCGTGTGCTGGGCCATCTCGCTGGCCTCCACTGCGTACACCTGCATGGGGCAGAAGCACCATCAGTGCATGTGCTGGCACTGCTCAGCCTGTCACCGCCTCGGCTGAGTCAGAACCTGCATCGGAGAATCGGGCAAACGGCAGGGACAGCAGGAAGGCAGTGTGCCGACGGCAGAAGGGCCAGTGTGCTGCCTGTACAGATGGAGCCCCGGGGAGGGAGCTGCATCCTACTCTAACCCCACCTTCTACCTAACAGACCTGGGTCCGCAGGTGAACAGAAGCCTCTGCAGCCACACAGGGCCGCCTGCCCCAAGGCCCGCTGGGTAAGGCCAGAACCCAGCTCCTGTTCAAGCAGCAGCAATCCCTAACTGACGCAGGAGGTTCTCGGCTCTCATCTGAGGACAGCCCGACTTTCAGGATACCAGTGGCTTCTGACATCATTTCAATCCAGGTTCTCTACGGAGGGTCCTGAGCACCATGTCCTGGTTCCAACAGGATCTGAACTCAGGTGGTCCCTGCACTGCAGCCTCACCTGTACACTAGGACTTAACATCTGCCTGTGCAAGGGGCTGCAACTCTGCACAGCCCAGGCATGCTTTAAAGAAAGAGAGTGAGGTCTGTCCTGTCCCTGCCGAGTAGCCACTGCTCAGGGTAGGGACGACACTTGGACAGTGACCTATACATGTGGGATGCATGTGTTTCTATATTCAAGGGAAATAAATATTTCAAAAAGCTACACACCATATGCAGCTCACCGGGACATTTCCTATCTGTCCTATCACACTCTGTGCTGTTTGTGGCTCATTAACCAGTGTCATGCCCTCTGACCGACTCAGCCTGCAAGGATATGCTGCCAACTTTGTCAACACGATGCCTGGTACACGAAGGACATGTCACTGAGACTCGTTCCTACTCACTGCTCTGGGCTGCGCATAATGTGCACAGAAGAGGCTGATGATCCCGGTCCCACAGCCGACATCCAGAATCACTTTGTCTTTGAGGGACGCCCTGTTCTGCAGGATCACGTGGTGATATTTAGTTGTTCGTGGCTGGTCTGTCAACATCTCCAGGTGAAGTTTCTACAGGAAAAGCAGAGTGCGAGTCATTGCCTATAATTAGAGCTGCACTGAGCTGTGGTTTACGGTGGAACATGGGGGCCTAAGTTAACCTTCTCAACCCCACATGTAAACACATGAGCAGTCAAAAGACTAAAATATGCCAACAGAGAAAGAGTAAACAGTGAAGGAATAAGCTGGAAGTTTCTGGACTCCTTCAGCCTCAGTGAGGTGCCTGCAGCTTCTCCTTGCACCGCCCAGCGAGCCAGGTGAGCGAAGAAGCAGACGTGGACCCCTAGCAGGCAGAGCAGGCGTCACCCTCCTGATCACGGTTCCCACCAGAGACAAAAGGAACTGCCACATTCCCGACCAGATACAACTTGGCTGAGTACCCACCAAGAAAGGGCGTGGACAAGCCATCGGGAGAGATCCTAGAGGAGAAACACAGGGCCCCACCCCAGAATCCTCTTCACACAGGGCCCAAAAGTCACTCCCACACATAAATCTGTCCCTCATTTGCTTGAAGAGAGTAGAAACTGTAGCTCTGGAGGGAGGTGACAACCCTACTGATCCCTGGGGGTTCAGCTCAAGGCTCTCAGGCATGTACAGAGGAAATAAAACATCTGAAACTCAAGGACACACCCCCTGGGAACTGGGCCAATGCCCAGGAAGGTAGAGGAAGACTCCTCCAGATGGATCATGAAGCTAGATGTCAGTCAGAGCCCTGACTGCTGGAGAGGCTGCACCCACAGCCCCATCCCTGTGCATGAATTTCGTGCACCGGGCCTCTGGTAAATATATAAAAATCTTTTTTTTTTTAGAACTTTTGTGATTCCATTTTTACAATGAAATAGTTAAGTCACCTGGAATTTACTTGTAAAGAATAAGGAAAAATTTCGACTTGATTTCCCCATAAATATCCAGCTGTTCCTGTATCAGTTATTGAACCTCCTTTTCTGTTGATGTAGAAATGCATATTTATCTGTTAAATTTCTAGGATCTTTCTGGAATCTGTTGTTTAACTGAGCTGCAGAAAACCCAGCCTACAAACAGCATCGCTTAGAGGGAGACACACAGCCAGGCCACCCAGACTGTTAGGACAAAAAGGAGGTCTGAACGGGCCTTCACAAGCCCACCTCGGCTCCTCACAAAAACAAAGGGACGGACATAGGGAGATGGTAGAGTGGAGTCAAGACCCAGCTATCCTGCCGGCAGCTATCACCTCAAGAGAAAGTCAGAGCTAGGATGCGAGGGTGTGCTGGTGCCAGGGGAAGGAAACTGGGGTAGCAGCATTAATATCAGAAAAAATACATCCAGAGCAAAGAATGTTCCCAGGGACAAAGAGGATCCATTCATAACACAGGATCCACTTCAGCAAGAGGATATAATTCTAAATACTTTTGTACCTAAAAACAGAGCTTCAAAATACACAAAGCATAAACCAACAGAATGTAACAAGAAATAGACAAATTCACAGTGATGGTCAGACCCTTCTCTCAGTGATTGATAGAAATGGACAGAAAATCAGTAAGGACATAGACTTGAACAACACTATCAAACAACTTGGCCAAACTGATATTTACAGAATGCTCCACCCATCCGTCTACAACAACAATACATAAAAAATATCGTGGCTGGTCTGTCAACATCTCCAGTTCCTTTTGTCTCCGGTGGGAACCGTGATCAGGAGGGTGACGCCTGCTCTGCCTGCTAGGGGTCCACGTCTGCTTCTTCGCTCACCTGGCTCGCTGGGCGGTGCAAGGAGAAGGAACAGGTTTAACAAGAAAGGTACACAACCTTGTATTATCAAAACCTTAAAACTCTGAGAGACATAAAACAAGGCTTAAGAAATGGGGAGAGTCAGCATAAAACAAAGTTGTCACTTCTCCTTAAATTAATGTACACTTTCATGCAATACCAATTAAAATGCCAAATAATTTGGCATGGGGAGGAGAGGACACAACAAATGATAACAAAATTTGTTTCTAAAAAATACACAGCCAAAGCTAGCCATGACAATGCTAAAAAATAAAAGCTGCTCAAGGCCTAGCTCTCCCAAGGTTAAAAAGCTACAATAATGAAAAGCATCTAGAACTACAGAAGAAATAAACAGATCAATGAAACAACAGATTCCAGAAAGATCCTAGAAATTTAACAGATAAATGTGCATTTCTACATCAACAGAAAATGAGGTTCAATAACTGATACAGGAACAGCTGGATATTTATGGGGAAATCAAGTCGAAATTTTTCCTTATTCTTTACAAGTAAATTCCAGGTGACTTAACTATTTCATTGTAAAAAATGGAATCACAAAAGTTCTAAGAGAAAGATTTTTATATATTTACTAGAGGCCCAGTGCACAAAAATTTGTGCACTCGGGGGGGAGGGGGGTTCCCTGAGCCCGGCCTATGCCCTCTCGCAGTCTGGGACCCCTCGGGAGATAACGACCTGCTGGCTTAGGCCTGCTCCCAGGTGGCAGAGGGCAGGCCCAATCCCTAGGTGCAGCCCCTGGTCGGGGTCAGAGCAGGGCCAATTGGGGAGTTGGGGTGCCGCCTGCTGTCATGCACAGAGCAGGGCGGATCAGGAGGTTGTGATGCCACCCTGTCACGCTCAGGGTAGGGCCCATCAGGGGGGTTGGGGCTCCATACCCTGTCATGCACAGAGCAGGGCCAATCAGGGGGTTGGGGCGCTGCCCCCTGTCACGCACAGAGCAGGGCCCATCAGGGGGGTTGGGGCTCCATACCCTTTCACGCACAGAGCAGGGTCAATCAGGGGGTTGGGGAGCTCCCCCCTGTCATGCACAGAGCAGGGCCGATAGGGGAGTTGGGGCACTGCCCCCTGTCACACTCAGGGCAGGGCCGATGCGGAGGTTATGGCTCTACCCCGTCACACACAGAGCAGGGCCCGTGGACGGTTGGGGCGCCGCACCGTCACACACAGAGCAGGGCGGATAGGGAGGTTGTGGCCCCGCCCCCTGTCACACACAGAGCCGCAGGGCAATCAGGGGGTTTGGGCACGCTGATCCCAGTGCCGGGAGGCCTCACAGCTCCACTGATCCCGGTGCTGGGAGGCATATTACCCTTTTACTATATAGGATAGAGGCCTGGTGCACGTATGGGGGCCGGCTGATTTGCCCTGAAGGTTGTCCTGGATCAGGGTGGGGGTCCCCACTGGGGTGCCTGGCCAGCCTGGGTGAGGGGATGATGGCTGTTTGCAGCTGGTCACACACCCTTCAGGGTGGGGGTCCCCACTGGGGTGCCTGGCCAGTCTGGGTGAGGGGCTGAGGGCTGTTTTCAGGCTGGGACTGAAGCTCCCAACTGCTTCTTTTTTTCGTTTTCTTTTTATTCTGGGCCAGCGTTAGCTCTGAGGCTCCAGCTCTTAGGCCTCCACTCCTGAAAGGAGGTATCTGGTTTGTTTCGGTTCTATAATTGAAACTCTGTATCAACTCCAGCTCTGAGATCCCAGTGGCTGAAAGCTGGTTTCTGGGGTTTTGTTTAGTGTCTATATTTGTTACAATGTTTGAAACTGCAGGCTCAGAGGCCGGCAAGGCAGGCGGGTAACGTTGCAGTCCTCTGTCACTGAAGCAAGCAAGCCTCATGTTAGTTTCAAGCTGCCTGGCTGCTGGCCGCCATCTTGGCTTGCAGTTAATTTGCATATCTCACTGATTAGCCAATGGGAAGGGTAGCGGTGGTACGCCAATTACCATGTTTCTCTTTTATTATATAGGACTAGAGGCCTGGTGCATGAAATTCGTGCACGGGTAGGGTCTCAAGGTCTGGCCGGCAATCAGGGCCTTCCTTCTGGCTGCCAGCTGCCAGACAGGGCCTTCCTTCGTTCCACGCCATCCCCTGGTGGTCAGCACATGTCATAATGAGCAATCGAACTCCTGGTCTCTCAGTTGAACTCCCGAAGGGACACTTTGCATATAAGCCTTTTATATATATAGATTATATATATATATATATATGATATTTATAATCTTGCAGTGAAGAAGGTCTTTAAAACTCACAAAGAAAAGAAAGACAAATTAGACTACATAAAGATAAAAAGTTTCATGGGGGAAAAGAGTGGCAAGAGATAAGTATAATACATAAATACAGGCTAAACTGCTTATTTAACATTTAAACCAACAGAAATCAAAAGAGAAATGGGAAAATTGTATGAAAGTTTTCCCAAAAAGGAATACAAAAGGCCAATCCTATATAATAAAAGCCTAATATGTAAATTGACTGAACAGCAGAATGACCAGTTTCTATGACACACACTGACCACCAGGGGGCAGAACCTCAACGCAGGAGCTGCCTCCAGCCCGCAGGCCCCAGGCTCCCCCTGCCCTGATCACCCTGCTGGTTGCCCTGAAGAGGGAGGTGACTTGTGGCAGCGAGTGGCACCAGGCTGGCCAAGGCGGGTGCCAGCCGGAACCCCCCAATCGCCCCGCCAGTGGCCCAACAGATCAGCCCTGATCATCAGCCAGGCCTAGGGACCCTACCCATGCTCAAATTTCATGCACCAGGCCTCTAGTAAAATATAAAAGCTCATCATTCTCACTTTTAAAAATGAAAATCAAAAGCATGATACCATATTTCACCTCTAAAATAAAAAATTGTTTCCCTGGAGGGGTCAAGGGGGCGGAGGGAACATATGCAATACTTTCAACAATAAAGGTTTTTTAAAAAATTGCTTCCCCTTATTTGTCGTAGCAACATCTTTACCAATACAGCTCCTAGGGCAATGGAAACTAAGGAGAAAATAAACAAATGGGACTATATCAAAATAAAAAGCTTCTGCACAGCAAAAGAAACCATCAACAAAACAACAAGAAAGCCCATTGCATGGGAGAACATATTTGCCAATGTTATCTCTGATAAGGGTTTAATCTCCAACATTTACAGGGAACTCATACAACTTAACAAAAGAAAGATAAACAATTCAATCAAAAAATGGGCAAAGGACCTAAATAGACACTTTTCAAAAGAGTACATACAGAAGGCCAAGAGACATGAAAACATGCTCAAAGTCACTCATCATCCGAGAGATGAAAATCAAAACAACAATGAGGTACCATCTCACACCTGTCAGAATGGCTATCATCAACAAATCAACAAATGACAAGTGCTGGTGAGGATGTGGAGAAAAAGGAACCCTCTTGCACTGCTGGTGGGAATGCAGACTGGTGCAGCCACTATGGAAAACATTATGGCGTTTTCTCAAAAAATTAAAAATGGAACTTCTATTTAACCCAGTAATACCACTTCTAGGAATATATCACAAGAAAACAGAAACACCAGAAAGGATATACTAGTATGCACCCTATGTTCATAGCAGTACAATTTACAATAGCTAAGATTTGGAAACAGCCTAAGTGCCCATCAGCAGATGAGTGGCTTAGAAAACTGTGGTACATCTACCCAACGGAATACTACGCTGGTATAGAAAAGAAGGAATTCTTACCATTTGCAACAGCATGGATGGAACTAGAGAGCATTATGTTAAGCGAAATAAGCCAGTCAGAGAAAGATAAATATCACATGATCTCACTCATTTATGGAATATAATGAACAACATAAACTGATGAACAAAAATAGAATCAATGTCACAGAAACACTGAACAGACTGTCCAACCTATGAGGGAAGGCAGGGAATGAGGGAGTAAGAGATCAACCAAAGGACTTGTATACGTGCATATGAGCAAAACCAATGGACACAGATAGTAGGGGGCGGTGAGGGCATGTGCTGAGGGGTAGGAGCAGTCGGGGAGAGGTCAAAGGAGGGAAAAGGAGACTTATGTAATACTTTAAACAATAAAGAATTTAAATTTTAAAAAATTGCTTCCCTTTGATGCTGTGTGGTAGTGAAATAAGTATCCACACACCACTGGTGGGTGTACAATCAGTAAATCTTTTGGGAAGGCAAATTGGCAAAATCCACCAAAGTAAAAAACATGCACACACCCTATGAATTTACCCAATGGAAATTCTAGCAAAGTTTAGCAGTATTCGTGTAGGAGGACATCCATCACAGCTCTGCTTGTCATGATAAAAAGCCATTAACTAAGCACAGTCTACCAACATGGTCTTTTTATAAGCAACACAATGCTCTGTAGCTGATATAAAGGACAGACCTTCAAAATAACATAGCTACGTGAAAAGAGCAAAGCGAAAAGTGTGTGTGGAATATTCCTTTTCTATATGTTTAAAAAACTAAAACTGATGTAGCTTAGACCTGGAGGAAGCATGGGCACTGCAGCTGAGAGGAATCGCAAGGTACAGTGGCCTCTCTAGGGTGCGGGTGAGGACCCAGACTCTGGATTTCATTATGTCTTTCGTAAGAGACTGAAAGCTCTAACCATGCAGTCATGCGCAGGATCCCTTCTGAGAAATGCATTGGGCGATTTTGTCGTTCACACATCACAGAGTGCACCAACCCAAACCTAGAAGGGTGTGCTGCTTCAGCCCCCTGCACACCTAGGTCGCATGGTACACCACCATCACATACGTGGCCCATCATTGACGGAAACATCATTATGTACCACGTCACTGTACATATGTCAACAGTTCTTCATTGAATTTAGCATTGTTTATTGTGAAATATGGCATACCTACAAAAAGTTTATCAAATTCAGTTACAGGGCAACCAACAGCAGAACACTGCTAGCACCCAAACGTTCCCATCCCAGCCTTGCTGATCAGAGACCCCGATGACCCACAGCACCTTTCAGGTCCTCAGAGCAACCAGGACCCTGATCTCCTTCAGAGATTCGCTATTGCGTATACTCATCATAAACAATACCTTTTAATTTTATATAATTGAATCAAATGTTAACTGTTCTTTGATGTCTTCCTTCTTTCACTCCACATTAGGTTTTCAACAATCGATCTGCAAGTATCAGTTTTGATCTAGTTTTAAAATATAAATTGGGTTGTCTGGACCATAGGATTATGGGTCTTTATCCATATTGAAAAAAAAACAGACTAACATGTTAATTATTTAGAGGTATTATTATTATTGTTGCTATACCCAGTATATCTTTTTTCTATTTTCTTTTTAAAGTAAAATTGATAACTTTTTTAAAATACTGAGAAAGTTCATAATCTCATTGCTCAGATAATATCCCTAAACCAGGAGTCAACTAACACTACAGTCCATGGGCCAATCCAGCCCACCACCTGCTTGTGTATGGCCTGCAAGCTATGGATGGCTTTTACATTTTTAAATGATTTTTTAAAATCAAAACAAGAATATGACACATAAAAATTATATGAAATTCTTGCCGAAACCGTTTTGGCTCAGTGGATAGAGCGTCGGCTTGCGGACTGAAAGGTCCCAGGTTCGATTCCGGTCAAGGGCATGTACCTGGGTTGCGGGCACATACCAAGTAGGGAGTGTGCAGGAGGCAGCTGATCGATGTTTCTCTCTCATCGATGTTTCTAACTCTCTATCTCTCTCCTTTCCTCTCTGTAAAAAATCAATAAAATATATATATTTTTTTAAATTATATAAAATTCTAATTTCTGTGTCATAAAGTTTTCTTGAAATACAGCCATGCTCGCTTCTTTATGTGCGGGGGCTGCTTTCACACTACGATAGCAGAGCTGAGTAGCCTGGAATCAAAGGGTGTGGCCTAACAAGCCCTGCTCTCACTGAGATGAGTGGAAGCCCAGAAATTATTTTGACAAGTTAGAGCGTGGCCAGCTGAACAGGCGATCGGAGAGCAATACCAGGGTTCCGTAGCTGCCGAAGTACTCCTCATCCTGCCAGGTGTCCTCGGGGTCACCCTCCTCCAGGTCCTTCCCAAGGTGGTTCGCTGGAATGTACCCACAGTAACCGGCGCGCTCGCCCCACCACCAGTCAGCAGTCGTTTGTCTCAGGATGAGAATTTTCTCTCCTCTCAGAAAACTGAGCTGGAAACACATATGCAGAAGGGAAAATTCAAGAGAAACTTGTAGCTGTCATTTCAACTGTGACTTTGTAATAAATCCCCTATCACTGGGGCCCAAATCCCAGCATTTCAAAAATAAGTCAATAGGCAATTATACCAAGTGACAACTTACGAAAATGGCGCCAGGATTTAGAGATTTTTGTGGCTAATCTATCTACATGAAAGAAAAGCACAGCTTAATTGGTATTTTTTAAAAGAAAGATTAAACATTTTCAAATGGCTTAGGACAGAAATTCTCAACAGCCTCTCCACTGTTACTCAGCTATGGGATAGCCGATGATATGACTGGAGGCTTCGGCTAGGAAATTCCTGTTACAAAGTAAAGAAAGCCCTATTCAAGTAGGTGTTTTTACTTTATAACCTTACTTTTCAGTTACAAGGATAGGTTCTTAATCACGGCTGCCAAGCAGAAACTGGAGCAGGTACTTCCTCCCCCATTCCTCACACAGGTGTCTTTCACATCAGGCTTGGGATCACAATTCGTTAGGCTGGGAAGGAAGGATCGACCACTCACAGGCCTCACGTGGCTCTAAACATTTGAACACTTCTTTCACTTTAGCATGACTTTCTGAAAAACTGCCTGTCATTTCACTAATTCCAAGCATGCTGGAATCCACAGAACATGGACCTGATGCACGCGGCTACCTGTGTCTCATCGGTGGCAGAATAGTCCGCGATGGCCACAAACTCCTCGGGGTGCACACCTTCTGGGAGGTGCTGTTCACAGTGTTCCACAGGTTCTTCTCTCCCCTGCTCAAAGCCAAGGAGAGAACAAGGAAATTATTACGGGCTTCTCTTTCTTTTATTTTTTTTTTTGGGGGGGGGGCTGTGGGGGGGAGCTCTGGGTTATTAGGATGGTTTTATGAAGATTCAACTGACCCAAGTTTTTATCAAACAATTGGGTGATCCTCACTAGCAGAATTAAGGGGTGTCACCTGCACTCCACCTTCACCTCTTATCTCTAGTACAAAATGATGTGCAACCTCAATAGAACATCAAAGAGAGAAACAAGAAAGAGGCATTTTTAGTGTCTATGAAGCCTGACCATCTGAAAGTGATGCCCAGCCCCAGGAGAAAGAAGTCCCGTCTCTGCCTGTCGCACTGTGGGGACCTCACGGGGCTTGAACACAGCGCTGGACGGGCCTCATGGGCCTCGCTGAAGGCCTAGGGAAGGAGCTGGTGACCTGGCACCAGGTATGTCACCTCACTGGACAGCACTGCCACTGACACATGCTGCTCAGGACCCAGAGGAGGGCCTTACACCTCAAGGACCTGCATGCTGCCCAGCTCCACTTTGCAGCACCAGGGGCAGGCCTGGAAGACAGCGCCAAAGGTGGCAGAACCTCCAACTGCTGTCCAGCTCACTGCACCGACTCCGTCCCAATACGTACATTTTTAACAAATTTTCCTACACATAAATGTAACTCCCGTGAATTTCCTGTGACTCTTTTGAAAGCACAGGAGTTCACAGTGGAAGATTCAAACCATCTGTAATCTCCATCGCTGGTTAGAGATAGAAACAGTTAACCCATTTATATCCTTCCAGGCTTTTTATCTAAAGTGTACCTTTAAACACATGCACACAGGGTGTTTATTGGGATCATACAGTTCTGTGTTGTGACATGTTTTCCACTTATTAAATTCTGAATATTTTCCTTCATTATTAAATACACTTCTAAACACATTTCAATATCAGACAGTATTCCATTCTATGAATTTTTAAAACTTATTTATCCAATCTTCTAGTTTTGAACATTTAGACTTTTTTCACCTTTTTACTATTTTGATAGTATAAAGAAGCAATATAATTTATTGTGGGATTTATAACATATATAGAAGTAAAATTGTTACAGTCGCACAAAAAATGGGGACTGGTAAATGGAACCAATTTGGAGGATTCTTACATGGTGAAGTGGTCCCAAAAAAGATTCATAGTGTAATTTCTTGAGTAACCACTAAATTAATATTTAAATGATACAGCTTAAAAGCTAATGGAAGAGATAAGAAAGAATTACAGAAAAAAAAATGTTACTAATCCACAAGAAGGCAAAAATGGAGAAAGGTACAAAGGAAAAATGCAACGTAAAAAAATAAAAAAAATACAGCAAGATGGTAGACTTAATCATACCAGTCATTACGTTAAATTTTAATGGACTCAATACTCCAAGTAAAGGGCAGAAATTATCTGACAGAAGAAGAAAGACACCACTATAGGAGAAACACTTTAAATATGAGGAATTAGATAGGTTGGAAATATAAGTACATATCTGCATGTGTGTCATGTTAACACTAACCATAAGAAAGCTGGTATAGCAATATTAATATAAGACAAAATAGATACAAGGCAGAAAGTATTAAAAGGTAAAAAGAGACAGCTATCATAAAAATAAAAGGACCAATTAATCTAGAAAACAAAAACTAATCCAAATGAATGCACCAAATAACAGATTCAAAATATATAAAGCAAAAAGTCATAGATCCCAAAGTAAATAAACAAAAAAACAGACAATCTACAATTATAGCAAAGATTTCTAAAGCTCATCTCTCTCAGCAACTGATAGAACAAGTGAACAAAAAAAAAATCAGAAAGGACATAGAGATTTGAATAATACTAGTAACCCATTTGTCCTTAATGACATTTGTAGAACACTACACCCAACAATTGCAGAATATGTATTCTTTGCAAGTGCACATGGAACATTAGCCAAAAAGCCTGTATGAGTAGGCAGGCCATAAAGCAGACGTGAATAAATTTCAAAACAATGGAAATTTACAAAATATGTTATATTTTCTGACAACATATAATCAAACCAAAATTAAATAAAAGATAAATAAAACTTCATAAGTGTTTGGAAATAAAACAGTATGTTTCTAAAAAGCCCAGCAACTTTCTAATTTCCATTGTGATATGTTAGAAAGTATTTTAACGGAACAATAATGGAAATACAACATATTTAAATGAGTGAGGGGCAGCTAAAGTAGAGATTAAAAGTTATAGCTTTAAAACATATATTAGAGAAGAAAGGTTTAAAATCAGTGATCCTAGTTTCCATCTCAAGATGTTATAAAAAGAGAAAATTAAACTCAAGTAGAATAGACTAAAGGAAATAAAAAGCTAAAAATCAATGAACAGATGAACAAAGAGAAAGTCAACAAACACAAACTGGTTCTTTGAAAAGATAAAACCCTAAAAAGATTGATCAAGGGAAAAAAAAGAGATAAAACACAAATTGTGTATATTAGGCATCTGTTCTGTAATGGAAGGTGCTATTATATTACTAGGATGAATATTACTGAAATAAATTTCAATGTTAACTTAAATGACAATATTTCAGTAAGTCAAATCATGACTCACAAGTAATCAGAAAACTAAAATAACAAGATACCATTTCTAACCCATCAGACTGACCAAAATTTACAAGTCTGATGCTCTCAAGTGTTAGCACGCACTGTGGACGACTGGCAGACCTGGGAAGTGGTAAAGCCACTTGGGAGAACACTGATCATTACCTAGTAAAACTGAAAACATGCAATCCCTTCCATCCTGCAATGCCATTATTAGAGCACGTGTGCACAAGGAGACAGGTAGAAGGATGTTCACTGCAACACTTTTTGAAACAGAAAAGAACCGGAAAAACAAGTGTCCAACAAAAGGGAAATAAATAAAATAGGATGCATACCTGTGGGAAGCCGCCCATTATCTTCACTAGCAGAGAGGTGTGGACTAGAAACCCAGAAAACTGGTGAACCTTGGGCCCTGGCAAAGGTCAGAGCTATGCACCCACTGTTTAGTCACAGTCGAGACAATGGTAACTGAAGCAACTTCCTGACCAGATAGTCATGTAAATCGCTACTGATAAGATAGTCTGTCTGTTACTGGAAATTGCCTGCCTAAGGGCTATAGGTGTATCCCACACTGAATAAAAGGATGGCAAGGCCTGAGCACAAGGAAAGTCCTTTCCCTTGCATTGGGCTTCCCACCTGGCCCCCAATATTTCCAAATTATTATTTCTTGTCTCAGCTCTGTCATTTGCACATGGCCCTTCTCCAGATCTCAAACCCTGAACCACGCAGGACGTGGATTCACACGTACCTAATACACACAGACCTATATACATATTTATGAATGTGATACATTCTTATAAGGAACACACTACAGGAGCATCCTAAAGGATTGAACTACCTCTATACACACATTAAGAACAAATCCCCCAAAGCAACATTAGTGGGGAAAGCAAGCTGCAAGGTGACACACAGACTATGTCACCATTTAGGTAAATTCTAGAGATGGAAGATAAGTTATAAAAAGTATAAAGCTGGTGCAGAAGCACAATATCCAATTCATAATTCTTAGTAGTGTTTGCCTCTGAAGGCAAAGGAAGATTGGGCCTGGGGTTGAGAAATAAACTTCATCTGTGGTTTCTTTTATGTGCTGTATGTGTGTGTGTATGCTAAAGCAAACATGACAAAATGTTAACAAATTTTCACTTCTGAGCAATATGTACTTGATGTTTGCAATCTTACTCTATAAATGTTCAAGTATTTTTTTATATTTCTCAAAAGAAAAATGAGACAACCAAGGAATTAAAACATTTTATAATTGCCCGCCAGTGTGGCTCGGTGGTTGAGTGTGGATCCATGAACCAGGAGGTCACGGTTCGATTCCCTGCCAGGGCACATGCCAGGGTTGCAGGCTCGATCCCCAGAAGGGGGTGTGCAGGAGGCACCTAATCAGGGATTCTCTCTTATCACTGATGTTTCTATCTCTCTCTCCCTCTCCTTTCCTCTCTCTGAAATCAATAAAAATATTTTTTAAATATTTTATGATTAATTTTAAGAAATAAAATGACAACTATAAATAAAATCCCTATATATAAAAACCCAAGCCCTGACCAGGCAGCTCAGTTGGTTAGACTGTCGTCCTGATACACCAAGGTTGTAGGTTCCATCCCCAGTAAGGGAACATACAAGCAACCATGAATGCATAAACAGGTGGAACAACAAACCGATGTTTATCTCTCTCTCTCTCTCTCTCTCTCTCTCTCTCTCTCTCTTTCTGTCTCTCCTCCCTACTTCTCTCTCTCTCAAAATCAATAAAAATCTTTTTTTAACCTTAATGAAATTACAACAACCATTAGAATGCAAGGGAGAAAATGTTAAACTTGACATCACAAACCTGAAATTAATTTCTTTATAAACATTTATTAGAGAATTCATTTGGTGTTTAATTTTGCATAATCAATATTCCTTGAAATTTAAGGTGACTTTTTTACTGCTAACTTGAATGAAACTATGTGTGTCCCAGGCAAAAAGCAGTATGAGTACACAAATCTTTTCTAATGTATCTGACCTGTTTTAACATACTATGCCTGAGACTTTATTAACAACTAAGAAAATGTGCTTGCTTTACCAGCACAGGTACCAAAAATGGAACCCTAGGTTCGTGGGAAATGTTTACAGTGCCCAATTCAGAATGTCAACTGTACCCCTTACAGACACTGCATTTCCTGCATTTAAGCGCACCATAGTTGGTGGCCACCTTCCTAAATCCAAGGAAAGCGCTATCACTCCGGGCTGATCTCGGCTCTCTGTAATGTTCCCAGTGTTTAAGTACAGGTTCTTACAGACCAGAACGGAAATTACCTGAGATTCACTTCCGGGGCAGTCACCTGATGTTGCCATAGTTCTTTTAGGATCTGCCACATAGCTGCCACTTTTAATGTTTCATTTTCCTCTCCATTTCTACTTTAAAACAGAGGGAATGAGACAATGATTTGTTACATTGCACAATAATTGAGTTCACCTCCCTTCTAAGGTCCATGAAAAGGTCCTCTACCGCGTGGAAATAAAACGTGTTATGTGTAAAGAATGAAACAGAAGTAAAATTTACAAATGCAATTCGTTACAAAAACAACTGAAAATTTATGAACTTCAAAGAAGTGTGTGTTTTCTTCACCAATCTGCAAGGTGTTCATCGTATCCATTGGCCAAACGCAGCCTGTCAGTTTCTGTCCCATCACTGGGTTGATTGAACACATAGCGCTGTAAATTGGAATCTTTTCTTGGAATGCTGTTGGCTTTCATTCCAATTAAACTTCCCTACCTGCGGCTTCCGAGTATTCCCACTCACAGCAACCAAGGTCTGCATCTTCCGAAGGCTTTTCCTTCTCGTTCTCAATTCTTATTTTTCCAGCGCCAGTGTGGTCCATACTAGACACTGAGGCTGTTTTTTTCAATTCTGTTTAAAATCCGTGCCTCACTTATCAATCAAGACCTAATAATTATTTTGTGACGTTTATCATTACAAATACTAATATACATACGTTACATTTTCATTGGAAAACACTGCACTGGGACCAGGGTGGGTCAGGGCTGGGCGGGGCCGGGGGCGGGGCCTGAGCCGGGCGGGTGGGAAGACGGCCCTGAGGACCAAGGCTGGGGCGGGGCCGGGTGAAGGCCAGTCCTGCAAAGGGACGCAGGCTCCGTGCGCTGTGGGATGAGTGGCCCAGGATCGTGAGGGGCAGGTGGCCAATGAGGGGAGGCGTGAGAAGAGGGGGGAGTGAAAGGAGGAGGAACGGCATAGATGCCGCCGATGGAGGAGTAAGCGGCAAGAAAGTATGACGTCGGCTCACAGCGGGGGGCGGGGGAGGAGGTGAAGGGGGCGCGAAGCCAAGGGAAGTGGGCGTGCCACCGCGAGAGGCGTGGCTCGAGAAAAGGGCGTGTCGGAGGGGCGGGGCCCGGGAAGGGGCGGGGCGCCGAGCTGGCAATCGGCCCACTCAGGGCGAAGCCCTGAGGTGGGGAAGAAGCCGGGTGGTCTCGAGATGGGGCGGAGGCCCCCGTCCGTGGCTACACACCCGCCAAGCGAAGACCTCTCACTTGGCGTATCCTGCCGACGCGCGGTCCAGCGCCCCGAGCTGCCCACGGAAGACCTACCTCAGCCGCGTTCTCCGCTGAGTTCAGTGTCCACACCGCTAGCTCTGAGGGGCGGATGGTGCCTGGCAGGAGCGCGAGCCGGAGCCACCGCCCTCAGCCCGCGCAGGCGCGATGCGCGCAAGCCGTCAGCGGAGAAGGCCCGCCCCGCGGATGCGCATTCCCTACGCGCCCCTCGGACCCGAGAAGCGGGGCCACGGTCCGCGGCCTGCGCAGGCGCGGTGCTCTCGGGCGCGGCGTGAAATGTCCGGCTCCAGGCGGGAGCCCCACGCAGGCGCACTTGGCGTGTCGTGACTCCCGCGGTCGCGCCAACCCGGGCGCGGCGCCCCAGCTGTGAGGTCCGGCCTCGTGTCTGCGCGGACCCGAGGCGCGGGGGCTGCCCGCCCGGTCGGGAGACGGGGAGCGGGGCCTGCGGGCCCGGCTGGCCGGGGATGGAGACCCGTTTCCGAGGACGGAGATGACAGTCGCGCCTGGACCCAGGACTCCGGTTCTCGTGCTTCTCTGGGAGGAATTCAGTTCATCTCCCCGTGGGCGCTGTCCAGTGGGAATCGTGTGTCATTCTGTCCACTTGGCGAATGGGAGCAGAGTGATTACGTCTTTATTTCACCCAAAGGAAGTTTGCGATTAAAAGAGAAATAGATGACGTGAGCGTGACTTCGCGATGGCCTCGGGCTGCGGGGCGCGGGGTGTCAGTTTTACAAAATGAAGAGAGGGGCGGAGATGGGAGCTGGCGATGGGTGGACATGATGAATGCATGGAACACACTGAACTGTACACTTACAGAAGGTTAAGGTGGCAAATGTGATGGTGTGTGTATTAAAACAGGAACGGGGCACAAAATACCAATATGAGGGATGAAAAAAGAATTCATTGCAGATTCTATAAATTTTTAAAAGGTAATAAACATATTACAAAACTTTTGAAAAAGCTGACAAGTTCCACAGATTTCTTTAAAAACAAATTACCAAAACCGAACAAGAATATTTAGAAAACTTGCATGGTTCTGTATCTGTTAAAGGAATTGATTTAATAATATCTTCTTACAAAGAATACTTCGGTCCCAGATGGTATCACTAGTAAATGTTTCCAAACATATAAGGAGAAAACAATAGCAACAGTTACACAAATTCTTCCAGAAAATAGAGAAAAGTGAAATACTTCCTAGCTGGTTCTATGATGGCTATAAAATGTTAGCAAACACAATCCAATGAGCCCAGCGGGTGTGGGGCAGTAGTTGAGCCTCAACCTATGAACCAGGCGGTCATGGTGGGATTCTGGTCCAGGCAGATGCCCAGGTTGCTGGCTCCATCCCCAGCAGGGGGCGTGCAGGGGGCAGCCAATCAATGATTCTCTCTCATCATGGATGTTTCTATCTCCCTTCCTCTCTGAAATCAATAAAAATACATAATTTAAAAAAATAATAATTCAATGATATATAAAGTGATTATATTTCATAACCAAGTATGGCTTATGTAATATATCACTTAATGAATGTGTCATTTTAAAAAACCTACCCACAGCCAAAACCGGTTTGGCTCAGTGGATAGAGCGTCGGCCTGCGGACTGAAAGGTCCCAGGTTCGATTCCGGTCAAGGGCATATTCCTGGGTTGCGGGCATATCCCCAGTAGGAGATGTGCAGGAGGTAGCTGACCGATGTTTCTCTCTCATCGATGTTTCTAACTCTCTATCTCTCTCCCTTCCTCTCCGTAAAAAAATCAATAAAATATATATATATATAAAAAAGGATATAGTTATATTTAAAAAAAAAACAACAAAACCTACCCACAAAGAAAGTCCAGCCTCAAATGGTTTCACTAGTGAATTCCATCAAATGTATAAACAAGAAATAACACCATTATTAAACAAAATTTTAAGAAACTATAGGATGAGGTGGGTGGGAAGAGATTAACCAAAGAACTTACATGTATATATGCATAACCCATGGACACAGACAATAGTGTGGTAAAGGCCCAGGGTGGGGGCGGAAGTGGGCTAGAAGGAGTTAAAGGGGGGACAGGGGACATCTTTAATACTTTCAAAAATGAAGATAAAGTTTTAAAAAATATATGGGATGGACACTTGCCAATTTGTTTTATTAGGCAAACATAATTCTAATACAAATATCTGACATACAGGAAAAAAGTTACATACTAATATCCCTCATAAAAATAGATGCAAAAACCCTTAAAGCATTAGCAAATCCAGCCCAACAATATATACTGAGGGTAACACATTATAGCCAAGTGGAGTTTATCCCAGTAATGCAAACTGGGACTAACACTTGAAAATTAATGTAATTCACCATAGTAACAGAATAAAGGAGAAAAATGCAATCATTTCAATAAATAAGAGAAAGGATTTGACAAGAACTCCTTCTATCTGTTAGAAGGCATCTATCTAAAACCTATCACTGAAATCATACTTGATGTTATATTGAAGTTTTTATTAGAAACAAGGCATATGTATCCACTTCACTTCTATTTAACATTTTGCAGATGTTTCTTCATGGCAAAATCATGCTCAGAGACTGAGAGTATCTTTGCCAATTATTTAACACTAGAGGCCTGTTGCACGAAAAGATTCATGCAACACACCTTCCCTCCCCCTGGCTGCCGGCACCGGTTTTCCTCCAGCACCTGGGACCCAGGCCTTCACTCCAGCTAGAGCTGCCTTCAGTCTTCGCTGCTCCGTCCGGAGCCACCTTCCAGCCCGCGCTGCTCTGGCCGGAGCCGCCTTCAGTCTTCACTCTGCCGCTTAGCGCCTATGTATGCAAATTAACCGCCATCTTTGTTGGTGGTTAATTTGCATACCTCACTGATTAGCCAATGGGAGGTGTAGCGAAGGTACGGTCAATTACCCTGTTTGTCTATTATTAGATAGGATAAGTTCACTGCAGAAATTGTAACATAATAATATATCACAAGCCAATACAGGATAATATGTCCTCATAAGTCGATAAAAAAAATATACTCCAGCCCTAGCCGGTTTGGCTCAGTGGGTAGAGCATCAGCCTGCAGACTGAAGGGTTCTGGGTTCAATTCCAGCCAAGGGCACATGCCTGGGTTGCAGGCTCAATCCCCAGCATGGGGCATGCAGGAGGCAGCCAAGCAATGATTCTCTCTCATCATTGATGTTTCTATCTTTCTCCCTTCCTCTCTGAAAGAAATAAAAATATATTAAAATATATATGTATATATTAATATTATATATATTATATCCTATATAATAAAAGGGTCATATGCAAATAGACCAAAAGGCAGAACAACCAAACAACCAATCAAAGTGTAATATGCTAATGATATGCTAAGGCTGCTCAACCGCTTGCTATGACACGCACTGACCACCAGGGAGCAGTTGACTGGTCAACCAGTCGCAGTGACATGCACTGAACACCAGGGGACAGATGCTCTGACCGGTAGATTAGCTTGCTGCTAGGGTCCTCCTGTGGGAACTGAGCGAGATGAGCCAGACTCGCCCTGGAGCCCTCCCGCGGTCCCTCCCCAGCTTGTGCACCAGTGGGGTCCCTCAGCCTGGCCTGTGCCCGCTCACAATCCAGACCCCTTGGGAGATGTCAGAGAGCTGGTTTCAGCCTGATCCCGCAGGCCACTCCCCTTGGGAGGGCGCCAGACACATAGCTCATGGCTAGCGCGTGCTGCTGCATCAGCACAAGCGGGACTGATTGGGCACGAGCCCGCAGCAGGCACAGTAGGGCCAGGATGAGCTGGAGCGGCAGGTAGGAGCTGCAGGCAGCGTTGGACCGCAGGTTTCAGTCCGATCCCGCAGGCCACCCAGAGGGACCCCACCTGTGCACAAATTTGTGTACCGGAGTGTATGTGTGTGTGTGTGTGTGTGTGTGTGTGTGTGTGTGTGTATACATATATATATATATTCCAAACCAATGATTTGGAATTATTATAATTTAAATTAATTATACTATTATTCCAGGCAAAGAGGGGATGAAAGAAATTAAGTCCAAATTTAGTTAAAGTAGACCTTTCTACAAGTTGGTTCTCAGAAGAGTTGGTTTGGCCAGCCAACGGCTGATGTCCAGCTGCCAGTGCTAACTGAAAGTCCCTTGTCACTAGAGCAAAATTCGAGTGGAACAAAGGCACCGGTGTTGGCGGGCAAGGTGGTGGTCTCCTTCATGGGCTGCTGCAGTTTTCATCACTGCTGGCGTAGAGCAGCCTGGCCACCCTGAGGTCTTCACAGAACTATTTAGATCAGCAAAAAGTAGCCTTTTCCAGACTGAACACTCTCGGTAAGTCCTCACAGACGCTTGGAATTAAAGTTTAAATAAGTACATCATAGTCGCTCCTCCACAACAATTTTGATGACATCATCCTAACACAGCCCCATCATGTAAACAAATTCACCCTTAGATCAAAACCACTTCACTTAAGCCATAACAAGTAGATGTGAAATCATAACAAACCAATATACAACCAGAGGAAATCCTGGCTAGCACACCAAGGCAAGTAAGTCAATAAATAAGTAAAAGGAATAACTATTAGGAAGGAAAACATAAAATTATATACAACTAGGAATGAGACTTACTGATTTACACGTCTTTATCTTTCATATTCTCTATTTTCTTTGGTACCTTTTCTATTTAAATCTCAAAATAATGAATTCATTGCCACCTCCTGGATCATTCTTGTAGGATGGAGATGGCTCAACCTCACAGAAGCATTTTTTAAATCAAAGTGTATGAGTCCTCATTAGTTCAACAATTTTAACACTCAATTGATTAGGTTTTTGTTGTTGTTCATTTAGCTCAATGTGGTTGAATACTGTGTACTATTCTGGGCCCACAAGAGGACAGAGTTATAAAAATGTGTGATGATTACAGAGTAAATTAAAAAATGTTCCCATTGAGTAAAAAAGCAAAGAGGCTAATATAGTAATTTTTTTAAACTCTAAACCTGACATGATTTTATGGCAAATGTCCAAGAGTCCTTAAGTTATAAAAAGTATACTCCAGTAAACGTTCGCGACAGAGTTCCACCAAAGGGGAAAACTGGTTTTTCCTTTTGATGCCTTTTCCTGGCAGCAGTTCCCTGGGCAAGAAACCACACACACACACAAAGCAAGGCTGAGGAAAGTGTGCTCCCTGTGCTCCCAGCTCCAGCTCCTTCTCAAAATGTAAAAGAAAAAACAAAAACAAAAACAAAAGCCCTGCTGTTTTGAGCTGGCCCTGACGTTGCCATGGATCCAAAGCAAACCCCAGCAGCTCTGCTCACGCTGGGCTGCCCTTCTGAGAGGGAGCAGCGATTCTGAAATGACTGGTTAGCAACCAAATGGATTCATGGAATTTGGTGTGGTATAAAAATAATAAAACATGATACTCACAAAATACAGATACGCCATCACCACTGGCCGCATTGGGGGCCTCCTGGACTCAGAGTATTCTAAATTAGCCAGTGAGTTCATTCCACACTTCTGGACCGTCGTATGCTGGCGCAGAAAGAAATCTCTGTCCTGTTCTTTGCTT